GTGCTGGTGTTTGCACGGGGGGGGGGGTGAGTGCCCAGTTCTGGTGCTGGTGTTTGCATGGGGGGGATTGAGTGCCCAGTACTAGTGCTGATGTTTGCACGGGGGGGATTGAGTACCCACTACTAGTGCTGGTGTTTGCACAAGTACATAAGTCAGCGAGGCGGCCCAGCGCGTGAACATTGCGGGATAAGCCCCTGGCTACATTAAACCTGAGGCTTCACTTCTGCTAGGACCTGCCCGGGGCTAAATTATCCTTCCTGCCCCCCCCCTTAGTGACAACAACAGGGAGCCAGAAATTCCCCCGCCCGCCCCAGGGATTCCCAGCCTGTTCCCGCGCCAGCCCCCAAACACCCCCTACCGTGAGAAGGGATTTGGCCATGTCCTTGGTATCGAGCTGCAGCAGGTTCCCCAGCAGGGGCAGCGGGCGGGGGCCCGGGGGCAAACACCCCCCCTTCCGCTGGCCCTTCCCGCGGAGGTGGACGACCAGGCAGGAGAGGCCGAGGAGCAGCAGAAGCAGTGTGGCCGCGGTGATCTCCATGTCGCTCGCTCGGGCGCGGGGGGAACAAGGTGCTCCGGGTTGCACTGGCACCGAATGACTTTTCGGGTGCCCTGACGACTGACTCTTCAGCAGGGAAAGGGGCGGGATTCGGAGCCGACTGACTCGCCTGCCGGGCGGGCGGGGCCCAGGGCTCCGTGCCAGCTGCTGTCAAGCCGAGCGGGCGTCCCTTGCCCAGGTGCGCTCTGGCAAGGAGGCTGAACACGATGGAACGGGGATTTCACAGCCCACTCTGAAGCCAGGCGTCGAGCGGGGGTGGCTTGGCATGGCGTGGTACCCGCATGGAAGGTCTTTGGCACGTACGCCCCCAGCTCTAAGAGCCGGGGTAGAACCCAGGAGTCCCGGCTCCCCGGGCTAGGCGCTTGGCCACACTCCCTCCCAGAGGCAGTCTGGGGGGAGTCCTGGCTCCCAACCCTCCCCCCGCCCCGCTCTGGCCACTAGACCCCACCATGGTTCTGGCGGGACCCAACGGAGAGTGCCAATTCACGACAAATTGTTCAAACAGGGCAGTTACAGCCCAAGGCTGGGGTTTTTCCACCTCTAAGGCAAACCAAACCAGCCAGACTAGGAGGACTCTGGTCTCACCCCACTGGCTAACCACACGTCTCACAAAGAATTCCCTTAGACACTCCAGTTTTCCAGTATCACCACCAGTGCCATTGTTATGGGGACAAATGGTTATGAAAACCAATCCCCCAGTAAAAGAAAAGAGGTTCTCCCGATCCCAAAGGACCAAGCCCCAGACCCAGGTCAATAGACAAGTCAGATCTTTCCCACAAATCACGCTGTTGCCTATTCTTTAGAATCTAAAATCAAAAGGTTTTTTCATAAAAGGAAAAAGATCGAGATGAGAGTTAGAATCAGTTAAATGGAATCAATTACATATAGTGATGGCAAAGTTCTTGGTTCAGGCTTGTAGCAGTGATAGATACACACATATAGACAGCATAATCATAACCAGTAAACCAGAATCTTGTCTTAGACACCCCATTTGACCCCCCTTTATACAAGATTTGGTGCCACTACAGGACTTTGTTGCAACCATGTTCTATATGGTCCCAGATTATGTCAATAACGTCACACCGGGCTACAGGTTTGGTCTTTTGCTCTGGGTGCACGCCTGATGACTGGATCTTGCTGCTGACGTTGCACAATTTGTCAGGGTTCAGAAGGTTTCAGATCAAAGCAAGTGTGGAGCTGTCGTCCCATCATTAGAAAGGCCGGGGAAGCGTATCAATTTTGTAGTTGAAGTTGTGAATATTGGCTCTACACTGTCTGTATTTCACACTTGTGCTGTGCTTCTGGGAGACATCCCAGACAAGTTGGTGTCAGCTCTGCCTAGCCCGCTTGATGGCCCATTAAGGACCATCAGCTACACAATTGACCCATTGAGAAAAGGCAGATACACCTTGTAACTCAGCAAAGTATGCAGGGACTGGCCCATGTGACTCCAGACTCCATTTTGCTGTAATTTTCCACAGTAAGAACAAAGAGGTGATCTTACACCTGGAAAAGACTATATAAGGCTGATGCCTCGTTTCCAGCTTGTCTTCAATCCTGCTTCTCACCTCTGGAGGAACTTTGCTACAAGCTGAAGCTCTGAACAAAGGACTGAAGACCCATCCCAGCTGGGGATGTTCCAGAGACTTGATTTGAACCTGCAGTTTATTCCATCGCTGCTGCAAGCCTGAACCAAGAACTTTGCCATCACTGTATGGAATTGATTCCATTTAACCGATTCTAGCTCTCGTCTCTATCTTTTTCCTTTTATGAATAAACCTTTAGATTTTAGATTCTAAAGGATTGGCAGTAGCGTGATTTGTGGGTAAGATCTGACTTGTCTATTGACCTGGGTCTGGGGCTTGGTCCTGTGGGATCAGGAGAACCTTTTTTCTTTTACTGGGGTATTGGTTTTCATAACCATTTGTCCCCATAACGAGTGGCACTGGTGGTGATACTGGAAAACTGGAGTGTCTAAGGGAATTGTTTGTGAGACTTGCGGTTAGCCAGTGGGGTGAAACCAAAGTCCTCTTTGTCTGGCTGGTTTGGTTTGCCTTAGAGGTGGAGAAACCCCAGCCTTGGGCTGTAACTGCCCTGTTTGAGCAATTAGTCCTGAATTGGCACTCTCCGCTGGGTCCCGCCAGAACCGCATTGTTACACCCGGGACAGCCGGTTTGGGCTCAGAATTATACTTCTGGAGCTAAATGGGTCCCTGCCACTGTCATCGCTCAGACGGGACCCGTTTCCTACACAGTCCGGACTGCAGAGGATCTCCCCTGGCGGCGACATGTAGATCAGCTGCTCCCAGGTCACACCAGTCCTCAGGACACATCTTCAGTTGAGTTGCCTGACTTCCCCACCTCCGGCGAGACACCGACTCGAGAGTCCCCTCTTCCTGACTTTTCCCCTCCATTACTGCCAGCGGCAGAGAGACCCCCTGCCCGGCACGAGCCGATACCCCATCCTCACCCCTTCGCCCTACGAACCCTCAGCCCATTGTCAGGCCCGCGCCCGTGGTACTTTCGGGTGCAACACCAGAAGTTCGCCGTAATCCACCTAGAGCCAGAAGACCTCCTCGTCGGCTGGATCTTTAGCTAGGGCGAACCCACGGTTATGGGGCAAAATAATCCCCGGGGTGTAGCCGGGATCAGAGGCAGTCTACCCTCCCTCTCTAGTTTAGTGTTTGTTTTATTTAGGGCACGCTCTTATTAAGGGGGGAGGGATATGTTGTGTGTTTGGTTGTCGCGGTAATAGAATCTTGCGTTGCTGTGGCAACCGAGTTAGATTATTAGGGGATAGCCCAGCCACTTTGGGATGGCTGTTGGTTAGTTCTGAGCGTGGGAATAAATGGCGGCTCCCAGGTTTACAGCCCTCTGTGTCTCCCGTGATTTCTTCCTAAACCTGGTGCCCCCCAAGGATAGAACAGATCCAGGGACATGATTCACTTAATATGAACTTGTGCCCCACCCCAGAGGCAGCTGCATCTCAGCACCGGGCCAGGGGTCCCCGTATAACCAGCTCCCTCGCGCCCCACCCCAGAAGTGGCTGCATCTCAGCGGTGCTGCTGGGCCCTGAGATCTCCTAGGCGCTGGAGAAAGGCCCCTGTACTGTGGCTGGGGGCCTCCTTCCCGCCCCACTGCCTGCCCCATGGATTCGCTCCCACTCCCCACCTCCCCCCGCCCCAGAGTTCCAGGAAGGCACAGTGGGGGGTGGGGGAGGATTGTAGGCCTCCTGGTAAACAGGGATGGGATAGGCCCAGCCCCCCTCCCCCCGGCTCCAGGCTGGGGGCAGTCAGGGGGCTAGGGGGTCCCTTGCCCACCGCAGGGGGCTCCAATTCCCCTCCCCCAAGGGGATTTTCCTGGAAGGCCAACAGGCCAGAGACTGGGATAAACAGCCCCACGGCCAGGACCCCAACAGCTTCCCGCCCCAGGCGGCCTTCCCACCCCCCCAACACACACACAGCCCCTCCCCCCACAGGGTCACCCCTGGAAACAGCCCCATGGGAGATGGGATTTCCCCATGAGAATTCAGCACCCACCCCCCCAATGGGCACTAGGGGGCGCCAGGCTGCAGGGGGCGGGGGAGGGGTTCAGTGGGGGGGACACCGGGCTGCAGGGGGCTGGGTTGCAGCGGGTGGGGGGGTTCAGTGGGGGGACACCAGGCTGCAGGGGGCAGGGGAAGGGGTCAGTGGGGGGCCAGGTTGCAGGGGGTGAGGGGGTTCAGTGGGGGGACACCGGGCTGCAAAGGTGGGGTGGGGATTGGGGTGGAGGGACACTAGGCTCCAGGGAACCGGGCTGCGGGGGGGTAGGGAGTTCAGTGGGGGACCAGGCTGCGGGGGGTGAGGGGTTCAGTGAGGGGGACACCGGGCTGCAGGGGGTGGGGGAGGGTTCAGTGGGGGGGGCTGCAGGGGGCGGGGCTCAGTGGGGGCCGGGTTGCAGGGGCTGGGGGGCACGGACAGCCCCAAACCCCAGTGCAGCCCTACACACAGGTGATGTGTAAAACCAGAGACCCCAGGACCTTTCGCCGCGAGCAC